CCGGTGCCGCTGCTGCAGTCTCCCGGCACCCCAGAAGGTGAGGGGCTCCCCCCCACCCCCCCCCCTCCCGGGCAGCCTGGGTGCCCCCCATACCCCCTGGTGTTCGTGCCCCTGTAGCCACCGGGGGCCCCCAGAGGACAGGCTCACGTCCCCCCGCTGCCTCGGGGGCAGCCCCTTCTCTTTCTGCCTTGGGGTCTTGCTTCCCCTCGCTGGGCAGCTCAGTTTGCTCCGGGGAACTGCAGTTCTTTTCTCCCCACTCCTGCGGTTCTCATACCTTTGCTGCCACCCTGCCCCAAATCCCTGTACCGTCATCGGGTACCATCTCCTTCACCACTACTCCTTTTTCCCTGTACCTCTTCTGGTCCCCTGGCATAGCTTCTCCCTTTCTTAGTCAGCCCCATCTCAGCACCCCACTGTCGGTTTGCTCAGGGGTCTTACCAGCAGGTTGGAGGCAGTCCTGACCTGCTGGGTATTTGCATAAAGGCTCTCCTTTGTGCCTCCCCTGTCCCAGCCTGTGCTGAGGATCCGTCTCCGCCCTGTGCGTGGGGTTCTTTCTGTCAGGGCTGTCTGGGTTGTAACACTGCCCTGTTCCTCACAGGTGGCCTTGCCAGCTCTGTCCCCCACGATGCAGATGGGCACCATTGCGCGCTGGGAGAAGAAGGAGGGTGACAAGATCGGTGAAGGGGAGCTCATAGCAGAGGTATCCTGGGACACAGGCTGTGCTGCATTTCTGATGAGCTGCATGTGTATCCTGGGTTCTATCCCTGGTTGCCCTCACTTGAACACAGATCTTGGGTTCAAGATCACAGATCCCAACAGATGTTGTTGGGAACAAGTGACTAACAGCCTTTTAGAGCTGGTTGCTGCTTCTCCTCTTTCTGAGCAGGAGCAGCACTTAACCCGTTTGAGAGCATACTTTCCTAGAGCTGGTGCTACAGGGTGATGTCTCCAGAACTGTGTGTGTTGTGACCCTACACTATCAGACTGGAAGGCTCTGAACTTACTGGTCTTTTCCATTGTCATACTGATACCCTGTTCTCTCTCAAAGGTGGAGACAGACAAAGCAACAGTTGGCTTTGAGAGCTTGGAGGAATGCTACTTGGCCAAGATCCTGGTGCCAGAAGGAACAAGAGATGTTCCCATTGGGGCCATAATATGTATCACAGTAGAAAAGTATGTATTTTGCTAACCCTTGAGTTGAATTTTCTCTCTTGGGGCTTCTTGGGTGCCTTGTGTGAAAGGCTTAGAGACGGTCATCTGACTGGTTTTGCGGTTCTGTTTTCTTCTAGGCCTGAATATATTGATGCCTTTAAAAATTATACTCTAGATTCTGCAGCGTCTGCCCCCCCTGCAGCATCAGTGCCTCCCCCTCAAGCTGCAGCTCCCTCACCACCAACTCCGCTTTCTCCTCAGGCTCCTGGCAGCTCTTATCCTCCTCATATGCAGGTAAGAGAGTGTTGCTGATGATTTAGGGCTTGTTGCACTCTTTTTCTGTCTTTGGCTTGCTGGCTTCAGGGCATTTTGTCATAAATGCTATCTGGAGTGGGAAGTTATTTGCTATAATTGGAGGAGTGTGTGCCACTTGAATTGCTGCATGTTTAAAGCAGGTGTTTGGGAAGGTCCCAGAAAGCTTTTTTCAGAAAATTATTTTAGCATCCCAGCTGCTAGTAAAGGAGAGACTTGTCTCTCCAGGATTGTTATGCAGTCTAGAAAAACCTGCTACATTTGCATTATTTGGACAGTTGTGGTATAAAAAGACCTTGTGCTAAGTGTGAATAAGCTCTGAAGGCCCTGCTTACATCTCAGAGCCAAACACAAGTCTGTGATACTCTGATGAACACACCAGATGTGTTTGTGGGTGACTAATAATAAGTTGTATTTGTGGATAATCTTTTTACCTTGCTTAGATATTGAAGTGTACATCCACTGTTGTTGTGCTTGAGTACTTTGTAGCAGGGTATTTTTGTGACATTCCTTTGAAAAAGAAAATTTGAAATATTAAACCTCATTCCACAGACGATATGTGGTGGAACTGATTTGTCTGAGATGTTACACAAAATAAGTAATTGAACAAAGAATTAATTAAAGGCTTCTTAATCTGACTTGTGTTTTAGCTACTAAATTTGCGTACTTCCCACTGCTTACCTCATCTGTCCAGTTTTGCTCTGAAGCTGTTCTCACATGTGCTCTATTTGTTGCACAGCAATATGAGTGTGCAAACCTACAGCATCTTTGAGTGCTTATTGGAAGACAAGTCTGTATAGGTTTTAAAGAGGCCAAACCTGGTTGTCACAGACAAGTGACATGCTTCAGTCTTCCTTTTAGCCTTGCAGATAGCAAGTACTGATTCTCTTGTATTCTCTGGCTTCACAGGTCACTCTCCCTGCCCTGTCACCTACCATGACAATGGGCACAGTGCAGAGATGGGAGAAGAAGGTTGGGGAGAAACTGAATGAGGGAGACTTACTGGCAGAAATTGAGACAGATAAAGCCACAATAGGTGAGTCAGCTCCAAAGCCAAGAATGGATGAGGTGCCCCTAGAAGAGGAGGATCCAGAGTAGCTTCTGTGCCAACTGTTCTCCTAGCTGCTCAGGACGTGAAGCTGTGGGGCAACTAAAACAAGTTTTGTTAACTTCTTGTTCCATTGGAGAGCTAAACATCGGAGCTCCTAAAAACACTTCTGTTTCTTCGTCAATCCTTCTTAGTAATGTACAGTGCATGGAGATGTTGCCCTACTAGTTACGCTGAAAAGGATTCTCTTGCCCACTAAATATAGGACCGGGCTTTAGCTACCAACGACTTTAGAAGCAGCATTTAGAGGAACTCTTCAGCGGCATTAGGCACCACACCAGTTTTGTTTCTTTCCCTTACAGGCTTTGAAGTGCAGGAGGAAGGCTACTTGGCGAAAATCTTGGTGCCTGAAGGAACAAGAGATGTGCCATTAGGAACAGCTCTCTGCATCATTGTGGAGAAAGAGTCCGATATTCCAGCCTTTGCTGACTACCAAGACACTGCAGTAACTGACATGAAGGCACAAGCTCCTCCTCCTACTCCTCCACTAGTAAGGACCATTCTTAGCATGTGAGAGAAGTTATGGGGACCATTAAGAGGTCTGATCTGAACTGTTTTGCTGGTTTGACAGTGTGAAGCCCTGGCTCCAACAATAATGTTTTTGATTCTGTGAATGCAAGGCTAACACATGTGTTGGTGATAGGTGACCTAAGAAGTGATCGCTAGTTTGCCCTCCAAAATTGGAGCTGATAGTCATTCAGTACAGTCTCTTCTCCAGCCTCTTGCTTGTGCCAGTTTTAATACCTCATCCTTGAAAACTGGGAGCACAAGTTATTTATTTCACCTCTTTTTGGTGTATAGTTCAGCAGCTTAGTTGGCTTCCTTCCCAGGAAGTTTCTGATTTAATGTCTGGCACTGGAAAACTCTGAATCTGAAAACTCTTTCAGATTAGTGACTATTTTTGCTATTCTCTTTACTGGTAATTAGATGGTCCTGTTCTCTTGCTGTGCCTTCAAAGCTTTTGCTGAATGATCCTGAAGCTTTGATTGTTCTGTTAAGGTGGTAGCAACTCCTCCTGCTCCTCCTCCTCCCCAGCCTGCTGTTCCTTCCACTCCAGCAGTCCCTACAGCTGGGCCACCTCCCCGGAAAGGAAGGATCCTGGTTAGTCCCCTGGCAAAGAAAATGGCAGCAGAAAAAGGAATTGACCTTGCCCAAGTAAAAGGTAGGTTTCCCTTCCACCTCCTTGCTCGCACTATCAAGTGTCTGTCCCTCTAGGTACATACTTGCCTATTCTTTTCTTTATCCCTGTCAGGACCATCCTGACTGTGCAGCTGTCCTCACCAGAGGTTAAGTGACTTCTCTGTGTTGAATAAAACTGGTACGTTTAGAAGCAATGCCCTGTTGCAAATAATTGAAATCCTCTTATGTTTTTCTTTGACCCTTTTAGGTACTGGACCAGATGGTAGAATCACAAAGAAAGATGTGGAGTCATTTGTGCCGCCAAAGGTTGCTCCAGTGAGTAGGCTCGAGATCTATAAGAATGGATATTTTATTATAGTGATAGAAATGCTCTGCAGAAATGCACTTACTCTATGGAACTGTTATTGCTGGATTGGTTGGGTTATGATGCCGTATGGGCTATGGTGACTGTTAAGTTGTAAAGCTTAACATGTCAGAAACACGGACAGAGTTTTCTTCCTTTATTTGTCCCTTTGGTATTTCACTGAGGAAAAAAAATTGTGTGCTCTCAACCCTTCATTTGGTTGCTGCACTGTTATAGATTGAGGTGAGCCCAGTCCCAACTGAATTAACATTGCTGAAAAGAGGCAATTAAAATGAAAGCCAGGCTTATGAACCAACAGCCTGCTGTCATTGTTGCCACAAATCTGTTCTTCTACTATTGCTTGTCTTTTATATGAGATGATGAAAGTGCTGCTTTGTGTACTGCTGGAAGGGATGTGGCTGAGTACAGTTTGCCCTCTAGCATACCTCTCTGCTGTACGTAAAACAACCATCTAGCAGGACTTACTACTCTGGGAGCTTCATAGCAGTGTATATCAGTGTTGCATTTCTAAATCACTCAAGTACTGCATTTAATAATCAAATACAGGACTTACAAAGAACCTAGTGGGTACTGGAGAGGTGAGGCTAGAAAGCAGAAGTACCTGCTGCTCTTAAGCAAGAGGCAACTTAGCCTCAGCACTTGTCCTATATACTGAATTACTCTATACAATTGATATTTGGAGAGTGTTGTGGATTATGCTGTCTTTCTCTGATTGCAGGCTCCAGCAGTAGAGGCAGTTCCTGCAGCTGCTGCAGTTGCAGCAGCACCAGTGGGGACCTTCACAGATATCCCTATCAGCAACATTCGGAGGGTAAAAAGATTTTATTCCTTTCTGAGATCATTATTTGCAGTCATGAATTTTCCAAACTGATTTATTTTCATCGCTTCTGTTGTATACCCACAGGTCATTGCTCAGCGGTTGATGCAGTCTAAACAAACAATACCTCACTACTACCTTTCTGTTGATATAAACATGGGAGAAGTACTGGTGCTAAGGAAAGAACTCAATCAGGTAAAGCATTTAGGCATGGTGAGAGTGTGTGTGTGGGGAAAGCTGCATTCTCTCACAGGTTTGCCCACCCTGCTTTTTGGTGATATGCCATTTTAGCTTGGAAAAAATAGTCTTTTCAGTGTTTTTTTTCTACCTGTTGTGGCTTGGTTCTGGACTGTCTGTGACAGAATGAGACTTTTTACCCAGGTACTGTGCACTGATATCTGACTTCCCTAAGAGGGCTGCTTTGTACTGTGCTTGTTCAATTCTTCCAGCTGGAAAGTAGGGCAAAAGGGTAAAAAAGGTTTTTAAGAGTAAAAAGGGTAGAAAATTTAAGCAAAATAATAACTCTAAGACAAGTTTGAGGAAAAACAGACATTAAAAAAGATTGTACCTTCTTAAATTATGAAGGAGATGTATTTGCCTCCTAAATTATCTTGGCAGTTCAAATATTAGTGCTTAGAAGTAGTGTGATTGTTTTCTAACATTTTCTCTAAACAAGGCTGCATGGCACTGACTATCCAAGTTAACTGAGGTAATGTGTAAGAGACAAACTGATGCCTCAAATCTCTTTATTTACAGGAGGTCTCGGATAACATTAAACTTTCTGTCAATGACTTCATAATTAAAGCTGCTGCTCTGGCATGCTTGAAGGTGCCTGAGGCAAATTCTTCATGGATGGACACAGTTATTAGGCAGTAAGTTTATGGTACGGTCGAAGCCAGAAACTTTCTTTGTTCAGTAGAGAGTTCATGGCAAAATAGCAGACCTTCTGCTGGGATTTCGAGGGAGGGGAACAGGTATAATGCAAAGGTTGAGGGGCTTTGGTTAAAGTGCTAAGAACCTTGCATTTAAGGCTAGTGTGCAAGGTGGAATAATTGTTGCAAAATTAATATTAATTTAGACTTGCCTGAACAGTTTTGAAAATTTTTTTCTCTGTTATCTTGCTAGAGTAACTGGCATCACCTTTGTGTCTTGCAGAAACCACGTAGTGGATGTTAGCGTTGCAGTTAGTACTCCTGCAGGGCTTATAACTCCTATTGTGTTTAATGCACATATAAAGGGCCTGGCTTCCATTAGTAAGGATGTGGTTTCTTTGGCAACTAAAGCCCGAGAAGGTAAACTTCAGCCTCATGAATTCCAGGTGAGAAACTCGGATTGCTGTAAACATTGCTGCCCTTGACTTCTGTTCAGAAGCTCTGTTCAGAATGAGCAAAGCCTATTTTGTGATGTTTCAGCCATGTTCATTAATATTCCACATGAAACAGCTTTTGTGAACTTGACTATGAATGTTTTTCTTTCTTGTAGGGTGGTACTTTCACAATTTCCAATTTAGGAATGTATGGGATTAAGAATTTCTCTGCCATAATCAATCCACCTCAAGCCTGCATCCTTGCAGTTGGTTCCTCAGAGAAAAGGCTAGTGCCAGCTGATAATGAGAAAGGGTAAGTATTCATCTGATTCTGCATATACTGAGCTTCTGAATTGAAATGTTGAAATAATGGCTAGTTTTCTAGCACTTCCATTAGATTATGATTTTAAAAAAATAAAACTAATTGTTGACATACTGCTTTCAGTACCTTCTGAAGTACAGTGAGATCTTGTATAAAAGGATCACACAGGTGTTAGAGACATGCAGTAACTGATGAACGATCTGCCATACATTTATTCTTGCAACTTCTTTGCAAGTTAAGGAAAGGCTGTTTCTTTCTTTGAGGGGTAGAGTTGAGCTCTGGAAAAGTCTGGGATCCACAGCAGTTTAGGCACTTGTTCCTCCTTAACAACTTGCTTAAATTTGCATTTAAGGAAAACCTAAGGGATGGATTATAATTCAAGTGTCCTGTATATAATATAACCTTGCTTGGAGCTTGAACTAGCATAGACCCGGGTGAATGTTTAGCATTATTTAAACTTGTTAACGGTCCTACGTATCTGTCACTGACACATGGGGAAAATGGAGGTTACTGGGTGAAATGGCTCTTTTTCTTTGATCGTGTGGGGCTGTTATTGTGATACAAAGAAAGATGAGCTTCCTGTCCTAAAGGGAACATACAAATGTGTTTCTTAATTGTAGAGGAGGAATGAATATGATCTGCGCTCCAATGTAATCTTTTTTAGAAGTCCACAGGGAGAAATATCTGTTACCAAGCACCAACTGCTGTTGCTGGTTCTCTGATAAAAGCTTTTTTGCTTTGTTAGTGGTACTGACTTGGCACTGAATTGCAGAGGATTGTGTTAACCTTCATTTTT